GAGGTACTCCAGGAGATGAAGCACCAGAAAAAACACCTAGAGCACTATTGGGGAAAGACTAAAAGTGAACCCAAGCCAGTATAGGTACAAGCTCCCATAGCTATGAGAGAGGTGAAAAGTCACTACTTTATTGTGTTGGTGGCTGCTGGCTGGCTACTTTATTTAGGACAGTAAATTCTCTCTTAAGGAAGGATGATTAGGAAGAGTTCCCACTGGGCAGCTGTGATTGGTTTTGCTCAGCAATTTGCTGACAATTCACTCAGATTCATTGAAGCCTGGAGTCCTGGGCAGAGTCTCATGTGATTGGGGTATTGGCTAGCTTTGTTACCTGGTGTTCTTTTTGACCTTGTACTCTGAGGAAGTGAATAGGGTGCTCTTTAATACTTGCCACTTACTGGCTTGAGCCATGACTTCTTGTGCCCAAGATGGGGTTGAAAGAGATCTGATTATCTAGAATCAAGAGGATATTAACACTTCTATTTTGGAGGGGGTGATGTTGGCAGCTTGAAAGAGATGGTGGTACCCCCCCCCCTCCTGAAAAGTCAGTCCTGGACCCAGCAGTGTTTTATAACCATCACCAAGTCTCCAACCTTCTATGTTTAGGGAAAGTTGTTAAGCACGTTGTGTGAATTCAGCTATAGAGCATCCTAGAGGAACTAGATTAGCTGGACTCTTTTCAGCCATGGACATGGGACAGAGACAGCATTGGTTACTCTAGGTGATGGTCCTTGTTAGCACCTTGATGAGGATAGGGTACCCTTCTTGGTCCTATTAGACCCCATGGCAGCTATTGATACTGTCAATTGTGGTATCCTCTTAGTCTGCCTGCAGTAGTTGGTGTTTGGGAGCACTATTCTGCAGAACAGAACAGAACAATCTCATTGGGTGGTTTCTGTCAGTGGTAATGGGGGAGTTTGGCCCAGTGGCCTATCTCCTGTGGGGCCAAAGTATTCAGTCCTCTCCCCTTTACTGTTCAACTTTTATATGAAGGCACTGGGAGAAGTCATCCAGTGCTTTAGGATGTGTTACAATCAGTAGCCATATAGTCAGCTTAATGTTGCAAGATGACATTAACTGTTTGTCTGTCATGGTTCTCTGACAACTCCGGTATTGTTTTTTGGGGTAGCATTGTTCTGAGGGAGTAGCTCAGTGATTTGGGGGTCTTCCTGGACTTGCTATGTTTTTATAACCTTTGCCAAGCTTTGGCTGGTGCCAGCTGAGGACCTGACTACATGGACTCATGCTGTTATCTCCACATGGTTAGACATCTGCAATGCACTTTCTATTGAGCTGTCTTTGAAGACCACTAGGAAACTACAACTGATCCAAAATGCAGCCTTATTGACCATTACTAATTACTATGCTCATTTATTTACATACATCTGCAGGTACATCTTGCATACAGGATTTGTTCTTTTCCATATACCAGCTTTCTCAAGTCTGAAGTCTTTCAAATGTTTTGGACTACAACTTTTATTATTTCCCAGAATTGCAATTAAAAAATTGCAATTGAAAATCTGGAGAATCCTCCTACTTTTTCATATTGATAATATAGAAATATATTCCAGTTAGCCCCTTTTGTGTGAGACTGGGATTTGAACAGTTAAATTGAATGAATCTGCTAAGAGCACCATATGAATCTTTGATAAGCTGGCAGCAAACAGCTGTCTGTCTTGGCAAGATTCAGCCCATTCTTTGGGTTCTTCTGATTGATTGATTATGTGCCAACAAGTCATTTTCGACTCTTAGCAACCACATAGATAGACTTTCTCCATGATGATCTGTCCCTAACCTGGTCTTTTGAGTCTTCCAACGGTACCTTCATCACCATTGTAACTGAGTCCGTCCACCTTGCTGCTGGATATCTTCCTCTTTAGATTCTTCTGGGGAAGAAATATTGAAGGTCCACCCCAATGAAGTGAAGTAGGTGGGAGCCTAACAATGTACCTTCTTGGTTGCTGCCTCCTCACTTGGGAACACTTTCTCTCCTGAGGTTTAGAGTACCCCTAATGTCCTGAGTTTTAGGAAGGCCCTTAAGGCCCGGCTCTTTGGCTATTTGGACGTTAATGATGACAGAGCTGCCTTTAGTTTTTATTTTCTTTTATAGGTCAGTGTGATTTTGTAGTATTATTGTAAATAGCCTTGAGTCCAAGAAAGTAGATGATACAAGTAGTCTTTGCTTAATGACTGTTTGTTTAATGACTGTTTGAAATTACAGCAGCCTTGGAAAGGATGCTTTATGGCCCATGAAGCATTTCCAGATGTCGTAAAACATTGCACTGCCACCCCCCCCCCATGGTCACATAGCTACATTTTGGGTGCTTGGCAACTGGCTCCGATTTACGACCAGTTGCCAAGCGCCCCGCAATCATGTGATCGCCATTTTCAATCTTCTCTGCTGGCTTCCCCATTGGAAGCCGTCAGGGAAGGTTGCAAGAGGAGATGCAGTGGTGGGCAGTTTTGGAGCTCAGATCTTCAGGATTTGAGGTCCCTGCCTTCACACTGCTGCGAGGTTTCCCCTCCCCTTTCAGCGGTGTGAAGGCAGGGACCTGAAATCCTGGAGATTTGATATTCATGACTGCCCAGTGCTGAAGGTGGAGGGGAAACCTCCCAGCGCTGGGCAGTTACAGAGTTCAGGAATTGAGCTCCATGACTGCCCAACACTGGGGGGCTTCTCCTCCCCTTTCAGCACTGGGGAGTCATGGACCTCAAATCTTCAGGTGCTCCATTCATTGCTGAGAGAGGGGAGGAGAAAGAAAAAGCGAAAGAGCTTGTCTGCTGAAGGATTTCAGCTCTGCATAGAGCTGAAATCCTTCAGCAGACAGCTCTTTCACTCCGTCCACTTAATAACCTAGGAGATCGCTTAATAACCACAATCGGGAGTGCCCAGATTGCAGTTGTTGAGCAAAGCAGTCACGTGGGCGTCTTATTTAATGTCTGCTTTGCTCAACGACTGAGATTCCAGTCCCGGTTGTGGTCGTTAGGCAAGGACTACCTGTATATAAAACCTTATATAAATAAAATCAGGGCTGTGGTGATCAAATGAGAAGCAGCATCTTAGCAGAAGAGTTTGTGGTTATGAAGGTACTTAGGAGGCTCTTGCTTTCCTATTTTTTCCCCTACTGTTTGAAAAATAAAATGAAAATCCAAGTGACGTAATTGGGCCTTGGATTCTGTTCGACCCATCCATTGGGGAGGGAGGGGGTATGAAAATTTTAAAAGTCAATTGGAATACCTGGAGCCTGCTTATTTTTGCAGCGCTACTCTAGGCAGTTATCTTTGTACCTGGAGTAGGGAGACAGTTAATCCTCTGTTCCATAACTGACTAAGGTTGAATAGTAGGAGAATTGGTTTAATCCAGAACTAACAAGACCTCTTTGACCCCACTGTTGACCAGTTTGGCAAGTTCACATGACCCACTAATCAGCAAAGTATGTTGTATGAGAAAGGCTGTTGTGTGTTGCTTATTAAAGAGAGGAGCCACTCCAATCTTTTGTCTGGACCCTAAAAAAAACTGGAGCTAATCCAGAGTAAAGAATTCATGAAGCTTCTGCCAGTTAACTTTGCTGAATGACTAGGACTACAGAAATCCAGAGAATCACTAGATAGCAATGTGGAACTAAATCTAAATCAGATCTGGTAGGCCCAGAGCAGGGGTCCCCACACTCTTCAGCTTATCAGGTCCTTCATGGAGTTTTAGATTGTTCATCTATCCCCAAACATTTATTATATGAAAATAATTTAATAAATACTACTTTAACTAATAGTAAATCATGATAATAATAATAGACATTGCAATACCTGGAGACAGCAGAATAGAAGAGAAAGAACTGGAGGAAATCACAAAAT